GCACATAACAACAACAACAACATTTGATTCCATCCAGAGAAGCTCATGTGCACCTATGTCAGTGGAGGATAGTGTGTTGCTTTCATGTTGAACAGATTAAAACAATTTCTAGACTTGAATTAGCTAGGCAGACAAGCCTAGTGTCTACTTCTGAAAAGGACCCAGTGAAAACTCTATGAACAACCACGTCTTGATCATCATGGCGATGGTACAGGACGGGACAGCATTTTGTTCAATGACTGGGCAGTCATGAGTAAGGGGGCCAATGTTTGCCAGCCCCAAACCATAGCAATGGTGAGAGACAATTGAAACCGAGCAGGCTGGACTCCAGGAGGAAGGAGGGAAACAGTAGCTCTTCCCACTCTAAGGACATGTATCTGCTCAGTTCTCCTACCCCAGCATCTCCACTGTCCTTTCCAACAACAGCAATCCATCTTTATCCAAGTGATTGCTAATATTCTGCAACATTAGTTGAGTCCCAGTCACAAGAAAGAGATTGCTCTGCTGACTAAGGTTACCCTGATGTGGAAGCTCCTCACTTCAATTTGCTGCTGTCATAGGACTGGACGGGCAAGCAGAAGTGAGACACTGTGGGAATAGGCTGGCCATCGACTGTCCTTTGCTGGCTCTTACTCATATGTTGCATTTTCTAGTAAGAACCTTCCACTCAGTAACCAGCAGGTGTTCAGACCAGGATTGTTGTTGTTAAATGCCGTCGAGTCACAGGCGATTCATAGCGACCCTATGAACGAAAGTCCTGGACAGCTCTTGTATAACTTTCGTCCTCTTTCCAGGTTCATAGGGTTTCCAGAGATAAGCTATTACGGAAGTGGATGCCACTCTTGCTTCCAAGCTTGGTTTAATCGGGGAGCTTCACCAAACACTGTCCACCATGGGTAACCATTCTCGCTTTTGACTCATCAGTGTCACAGACCAGGATTATAGACAGTAAATTAAAATTCCTCTCTGGCTTTGTGCCTAAATTTTGATGCTTAGTAAGAATTCATCAGAATCTAGCCTTCACTCTGATACTAAAACAACACTTCAATTTTTCATTTATATTCTTCCTTGTGTGCATATGTGCTTCAGGAATCTTGTAAAGGACAGTTATTAGTAACAGGGCAGGAGTTAGGACTTTTGGAAATGTTGACAGTTACAGTAACAACTGTCTATTTGCCTGGGACTAAAAGGCTTGCTGGGGAGCTGTGATTAATGTGTTAATGATATGGAGTTGTGCTGGCAACCCAAAGGTGCATGGTTTGAATCCACCAGCTGCTTCATGGGAGAAAGATGGACACTCTTTTCCCATGTAATTAGTTTACCTCTGAAAACCTGATAGAGGATCAGCTATTGGGCTTTTCTAACTCAACAGTATACAACAACAATAACAACAACAAAAGGCCTACAATCATCTCTGATTTTCCGTGCTATAACCAATGGTTATATTATTATATGTTATTATTATATTTTTTTATTATATTATTATATATGGTCAAGTTGGAACTGACACATAAATGACCCTCCAGAGGGTCACAAGGCAGGAGATTGCCCATATTTCTTCACAGTGCAGCTTGTGGATTTGAACTGTATTTCTTTGGCTTGGCAATGCAACGCATTAGCACTAAGTCATTAAGGCTTCTTATCACCAAGAAGGTCCCTAAGAAACTGGAATGAGTTGGCCATCTAGGATAAAATACCGTGGTAAGGCCTTTGAACACCACACGTAATTCTAACTCTTAGTGGCTGTGGAGGGTTAGAGAAGATACCAATAACTTTCTTTGAGTTAAATGGTATCATTTATTGTAGAATTTTAATGAAAATTATATATATTAATTAAATTCCTGAGCAATATTTACAGGGTCCACAGTAAATGTCCAATGGATATTTTCCCCATTTGTTTTCCATGATTTTATTGTTATAGCAGAATATAAAATATTATGAGAAAAAAACTTAAAGTAGGAAAAAGTTAATTGCTCTAGGAGCTAATTGCTCTAGGTGGCTTTGGTGGCCTAGTGGTATGAATTCACACTGCAATGGCAAAGGCACACAGTTCAAATCCACCACCAGCTGGTCCATGATAGATGGATAGGCAATCTCCTTCCTAGCAATTTATTGACGCTGAAAATCTGCAGGAGGGTCAGTTATGAGTGGATTCTGACTTGATGGCACAATGGTAGCAATTACTCTGGAGTGAAAAATTTGGAGGCATTTTCTGAGCCTACTTTCCCTATCTCAGTGTTAAACAGAATAACGTTAGAACTAGTGCAATGAGAATCTAAAGGGGAACACCACTAACTGAGGTGATATGAAGAAGACCTGAGGCTGAAAATGGAGAAGACGACCACTTCGCGCTCACAGGTTGTGGCTATGTGAGAATGTGTCTGTTGTGCCAGAGCCGATGAGTTTTTTCCCAGGTAAGTCATGTATGAATTTTTAATGTCAAATATACCAATTTGAATATGTTGATGTCAAGTTGGGAACTCTTTGAAATAGTACCTAAGCCGGTCATAAGATTCAGTGAATTTTCAATTCTTCACTGGGTGAGGGAACAAATTTGATGTCATCATGAGACAGCCAAACAAGGCTTTTTCTACCCAGATGAAATAATTGGGACAAAAGGCAACCAAAATAATTTCATGATAGTGTTGTTGTTTTGGTTTCTTTTTTTTTTAAGGACAGGAAGTTTCTGTGTTCTGCTTTTGTGTGAACTTGTACATCTGACAACTAAACTTGTGGTGCTGGAAGTTATGAAGGCAGAGCTGCCAGTGCAGCTCCCTGAGCTCTTTGAGAGCATTAGCCAGCCAGCGGTTTTGAAAACATTTTTGCGTATTAGTCAGTACACAGACGCCTGCTCCGAAGGGTAGTGTGTTAGCAGAACATCTGCAGCACACACAAACCCCGCCTGCTGAGTCAAGCCCAAGGAGGAAATCAAAGGCTGCAGAAGGCAAAGAAGCTGAGACAGCAGAGTTTTACATTAAGTGGCTGATAGATCTTCCTCTGTGGGTGAAACAGCTACTGAGAAGCTAACTCTGAACATGACATGTTTGACCTCAAGCTTTCTGTGTTAAAGAATGTCTTTTCAGGATTTGTTTGGGCTCATCTTAACTCCATGAATCATTTATACTCTCTGTATGAAATGATTATTAATTTGGTCAAGTATGTGGTAATCAAATCCAAACTCACTGCCTTTGATATGATTCCTGCTTGTGAGAATCATCCATCAACAATGTGAGGCTGTAAATTCTTATGAGAGAAGATCACTCATCTCCTCCAATGAAGCCACTTATGGGCTCAAACTACCAACCTTTGGGTTGGAAGCTTAACTTATGCCATCATGGCACAAGTGATGAATGTTGTTATTGTCGATTGCCTTCGAGTCAAGCACAACTCATAGCAACCCTATGAACAAAAGGCCTGAACCCTTTCTATAACTATAGACATTTATCATAGTGTTTCCGAAGGCATGTTGTTTAGGAAGAGGATGCCATTCCAGCTCCTAAGTTATTAGGATATTTGAAATAATGAGAACACTCACTCCACCACAGACAGTATCTAAACTGCATTGTGGGATCCATTGCTAAAGTGAACAAGTCATAATATTTGCTTGGAAGTAGAGACAACAACATATTGTCAGGAGCTTTCCAAGAAGATAAATTTGAACAGAACCAGCTTGCTGAATGGAAACCTATATGAAGCATAGTCACACTAGAAGACAGCTTTGTGTATCTAGAGCCTCAGTTTCTGGCCACACAGCATTCCTCAGTGAGTCACATTATTTTGCCTCAGGCCAGAGGGGATTGTGACCTATCACAGCTTCCTGTGGGTTCTAGATGGCTGCAGAAGCAGCTCAGTAAGACAATCCACATGGGTGACCTTGCTGAGGAAGGCTGGGTGATTACAATGAGCTGTTTTTCTTTTGTTGACGTCTCACAAACAACAAAGCTATAGAGCTGGAGGCAGAATTTTGCTTTTGTCTTTTGTATTCATCCCTCCCCCCCCACCCTTGTTAAAAAGAAAGGCCATGGATTCAGAGTTCATAAGTTGCTCATGCAACTACCAAATTATATAAAGCAAACAGCATCCTAAGCCAGAGTTTTGTTGTCTCTTAAGGAAGGAAGGAAGAGAGGATGAAGAAATCCTTCTCAGATCATTTTAGGTCAAAACAGAGCTCTTCATCTTCATCACAATGGCCGAATTTGATTGGCAAGAAAGACCTCTCAGGGGTCACAAGACTGATTTGGGAAGTGGCTTTTTGAACTTTGAAAATACTACTGTAGCAAGTGATCTTTTTCACGATGACAATATTCCAGTTATGCAACTTCAACTTTAAGAAGTCTTGCTTGGAACCTAAGAATACAACACAAGCCTCTTAGCTTGCAAGTTTTGTGCACCAGGAGAGATCCTTTCATGAGGTGAATCATTTAAAGAAAGGAAGAGTCAATGATGAAACCAGAGCTTGAAAAGAGACGGGGCTGCTTTAAGAGAGAAACAGGAAGTTGTAACTAGAAGCCAGCTGAATACTAAGCCAGGGCAGATGCTTGTGAAGTAGCAACTTAAGTGGCTGCTTTTATTCTGAAATTCTCAAGCCATCAGGCTGTGTCAAGCAAACCTTGACAGTCCGTATCCAGGATTTTATCTGAGGAATCCCAAGACGACTGGAAAATGGGGAGACAGAGAAGTTTCATGTCAGGGAAGGATGAGTATCAGTTTCAACACCAGGGAGCAGTGGAACTGCTTGTCTTTAATTTTTTGCTCATTCTTACCATTTTGACAATCTGGTTGTTTAAAAATCATCGATTCCGCTTCTTGCATGAAACTGGAGGAGCAATGGTGTATGGTGAGTGCATAAATTTTGGGACTGATGTGAAACTTGTTGCTTGGGAGTAATTAGAGACAAAGTGAGGACCGAAACTGCAGAAAACGTGGTGATTGAAATGTTATTGGCTTGATGAAAGTTGCTGCAGCCTCACGAATGCCCATCCCTTTCCAGACAAGCCACCACAATTTGCCTTGTCACAAAAGTAAATGTCAGTCATGTTCTCACCAGGCATATAATGCAAGGCTGTTGACAGATGTGAGGCCATTGTAATGTGGGAGTCAAACTGGGTGAATTGTTTGTTTTTACAACCATAATGAGAAGCTATGACTCCCTAGCAGCAAAGAATAGACTTCTTTCGTGGGAGGCGCTTGTCAGCTTTTAGAATTCTAGAAACAGCATCACTTAAAAATGTATACAGTAAATCCTCTAACATCAGATAGTTCCAAAAGGAAAACTCTTGCAGAAACACATTCTGCCCCTCCTACTAGAATTAAAACATCTAATTCCGCTTTATTAATACGAACAATGTTTTCTCATAATATACACATGGGTTTCTTGATGCAGTACTTTTCCTATCTTAGCCTACTTTTGGAATTTGGAGTTTGTCATTATTATTTGCTATGTCTGTGATGTTTAGTTACTGTTTTTGGAGCCCATGGTTTGGAAAAGCATTTACCTGGCATTGTAAATTCCCAAAGTATTACACTTTCTGTGCAATTTACCATAATATTTGGGGGGGGGGGTGTGTGAGAAGGAATTTAGTAAAGTTCTGTAGAAATGACCTAGGCTACATTCTTATCTTTTAAAGTAGAATGCAAGACATCAGTAGTTTTCAAATTAATGTTGACGAAACAGTTCACTTTACCATTCTTATCTAAGTGTGATAATGAGCAACTTCCCCCCCTTTTAAAAAGTTAATTTTAATGGAAGTTTACAGAGACTTTGGATTTCCATTCAGTCATTGTTGCACTTTTCTCCCTGCCCAACCTTCACTCCCGGTTCACTATTCTCTTTGAAAAGTAAAAGAAAAAGTCTTTCATTGTTATACAATCCTTCCCCCCAGGTCCACTCCACTATGGATTTCCGTCATGACAATAACACCTAAACATAAATCCCTTTTAAACAATTCTCTCTCTCATCTGTTTCAAGGCAGTACACATAATTTATCCCGTTTCTCTCAGTCTCCCCCCAACCTTGATGTAGGTCCCATTTTATAACAGCGGCACTCTGCAGTATTTGTCCTTTTGTTACTGAGATATTTCACTCAGCATAATGTCCTCCAGGGCCACCCGTTTTGTATAATATTTCACAAGTTCCTTGTTTTTCAATGCAGCATAGTATTCCATTGTGTGAATATACCACTGCTTCTCTATCCTTTTGTTTGTTGATGGGCACTTAGGTTGTTTCCAACTCTTTGCTATTGTGAACAAAGCTGCAATAAACATGGATGTGCACATATCTGCTTGGATGTTGGTTATGGTCTCTTCAGGGTATATTCCCAGTAGTGGAATTGCTGGGTCAAATGGTATTTCTATTTGCAACCTTTTGAAAAAGTGCCATACTGCCTTCCATAGATAGTGGCTACACCATTTTACACTCCCACCAACTCCCACCAATAAGGGTTCCACTTTCTCCACAATATTGCCAGCATTTGTTGTTTGCTGTTCTGTTAAATTTTGCTATTCTTACTGGAGTGAGATGGTACCTCATAGTTGTTTTGGATAATGAGCAACTTTTAAGCATGATGAAAGTAGGTGTCTTTGTTATTCATAATAGGGAATATACATATATATTTCTATTTGAGTCTTTTTTGGTGTTTAAAGTCCTGGTGCCTTTTATATCCCTGAGGTTGAAGGAACAGTATTGGTGCACATTTAATGTTAGCTGTGTGATGTCCTGCTATAGTCATGATTTGAGGTTAAGAAACCCTATGCCTTAACTGGATCCCACCTGAGACATTTGAGCCGGAGGGTGGAAGTTCAGGTTAAGCAGTGTAATTTCTTTTCATCAGGATGATGGACTGATCCATTTAGAGCATAGAGCTCAATTTCTTTATAGGGAGTGCCTTATATGACACAGAAAAACTTATTAAAACAAAAACCAAAGAAACACAATCAATTGGGCAAGTAGTCAAATGGAGAGGAAGTGGTGCTGTCAGCTGTGAAGCCCTGAGCTCCCGTCTTTCATTCCCCCTTCTCCATCAATGGACCAGGCTCTCCTTCTTGACATGGCTAATAAATAAACAATGAGGATACAGGATGTAATCTGAAAAGCTAGAAATAATGTGATTCTTGGCATGAAATTGAAGGACTATGTGTAGTTTTCTAAAGCAGCAGGATTTTTGAACATCATAAACCTTCACTTGAGGACACTATTTCACACTTTTCAACTTGAAAAAATCCAAGTTACCCTTAATCATCAAAAATTACATGAAATCTATTTTACTTTTTGTTGAAATGATAAAACATTAATGCATTGTCCACGACTGAAATGACATTTCTCTTAGTTGATATTTTTAAGGCCATGTAAACTAAGACAAGAGTGTTATTAACTTTTGTTCTCAAGGTTTCTTTAAATGTTGAAGCTTTTGAGAGCATGTTCTGAAACAAAGCACACTGTAAAAGGATTATTGAAGTCATATACAGCCATAGGTCATAATTCTGTTACTAGAAGTTTGAGCACCCTTGAGTTACCTTGAACTGTGTAAAATAATGAAAAGATTAATCTCGTAGTGTTTTTGCTACTTCATTGGTATAGGAACCCAGTTGTGAGAATTTAAGGAGAACTTTCCCAGTCTCCTTATTTTACCGAAGAAGTAACTGAATTTCAGAGAACTGATTTCCTGAACTGAATGGCCAATCCTGACAGGATGAATGTGCCTCGTCTCTTAATAAAGTTAGTGTTTCTCTTAAAAGTATTCGCAGTGATTTTCTCTGAAAATAGTCTGTGTGGATGACATTAGTGACTTCTCTTTCTTTTCTCAGTGGTGATTGAAGTATTCGATCTAAAATGTTTTGAAGACTCTCTGCCAGTGATGTAATAATAGATACTCAGAAGTTACAACAGAAGAATAAGCTAGGACAACTCTAATAATAAGGGAAAAGAAAAATCCAGTGAGTTAATTGCCCAGCAGGTATAAGTGAAGTTTTTTAAATAATTTATAGATTGGGAAGGAGCGTTAGAGAGCCTCCCTCCAACATCCTCAGTTTGTAGATGAAGAAACAAAGAGGTAGGTAAGTAAAGGTGTAGTGTTAGCTGCAGAACTCTGTTTCAACCTGAGTCTTTACTCAGAGATGCTGACAATATTATACATTCATTCATTTTTCTGCTGCACTTTCTGGAGAGAAGATATGGCTATGATATCCAAATGTGTCATTTGTACATCAAAAATTAGTCAATTCTCCTTTCTAAAAAAAGCCAGAAAGAGTGAAATTTTATATAGTCCACTGAATTTCATCATTAAGATAAACCCATGGTTCTTACAAGAACATTACCCAGTGATTGTTGATAATCAATGAGAAGAAAAGGCAATGCTGGTGAAACTTCAGCTCACATACTTTGGACATGTTGTTAGGAAGGACATGTTGTTGGAGAAGGACATCATGCTTGGAAAGGTAGAGGGTCAGTGTGAGAGAGGAAGACCCTCAACAAACTGGACACAGTGATTGTAATGGTGGGCTCTAGGATGCTGGAGACGACGAGGATGGCACAGTAGGGGACAGGGTTCAGATCTGCTCCTGACTGGGTTGCTGAGTAGTGGTCAACTCAAAGGCACGTAACAACAACAACAACAAAAGTGTTTTTAAAAAGGGAAATGAATATTCACCATAAACTGTAGCTCAGACATCTCCACCTTACATGCAAATGTTCCCATAAGGAACTATCTAAGGCTTAGCTATCCCATGCAAAGTACTTACCAATGGATCTGGCAAATAGTTTTCTACTTGATTGAATTCTGCCCTTGCTTCCAGTGAGGTTTTTTGTGTTTTTTTGTTTGTTTGTTTTGGTTTGGTTTTTTTGGGGGGTATATCACTTGCCTCATTATCAAGCACTTAGAAATATTTATCTTAAACACAGAATTTTCCATAAATTCTGTTATTCAGCTGGCTGGTGTCCATGGCCCTTGGGAAGGTGCAGTAGATATGGGCACATTTTTTTTTCAATCTCCCTGGAAGTCTAAATCAAAAATTCTAGGTAACTGGGACTTGGGGAAAAAAAAGAAAGAAAGGTATGGAGATAGGATGCATCCCTGATACTCTCCTTTCCTGATGCTGAACCAAACAGTGTTTCACTGCTCTGTTTTGACTACTGGTCAAAACCAGTTTCTGGTCCAAGTGTAGGTTTCACGTGAGCACAGTTCTGGGATTAGTTTGAATTTGTTTATTAAAATCTGTGAAAGAAAAGACCATATAGAGTAATTGGATAGTCAAATACTGTTTTGTGTTTATGGAACAAAATATGCAAGAGTGATTGGGAAAACAATATACCTTGTAAACTTCCACTCAAATTACAATAAAAGTTGTTGGGGGGGGGGAAGACTTATAAGCAGAAAATGAAGGGGTAATGATCAAAGTAAATGTCTAACTGCTTCTTTTGGTTGTTGTAGTTCTTATGTGCCATCGAGTTGCCTGTGACTAATAGCAACCCTTAGTACAACATCCCTAAATCCTGCTCTATTCTGTACCAGTCTTATTGTCTCTGACACACTGACCCCATTATCCACTGAGTCAGTCTATGTCATCGAGGGTCTTCCTCTCTTGCACTGTCCCTCCACCCTCCCAAGCATGACGTCCCTCTGAAAGGACTGTCCCTTCTTGCAACATGCCCAACATATGTCAGATGAAGCTTCAAAATCCTTGCCTCTAAGGAGCAGCCTGGTCTCACCCACTCTAGGTTACATTCAGAAAAAAGTTCCAACACGTCAACCTTAAAATATAATATAAAGGGTTGTGCAAGCCAAGAAAAATCATGTGTGATGTTCTGTTTGCCTCTGCATTGATTGGTAATAAATATGATAC